AACAATATATTTTATAGCGTATAAAAGAAAGAACAAAAATACTTTACCTTAAACTAGACGTGGTACTTAATTCTTGAAACGCCGTTGCATACCACGTGCTGCCACTGCTGCTGCGGCGCCGCGCCGAAAACGCGAATGGGTGCCAACGGATTTGCCTGCGACCAGAGCCGCCGCCCCCGAGACTTCATCCTTCTCGGGTAAGTGAGCTACATGCAACGCTTCCCACAGCATGCGGCCATTCTCCTGCGAGTCGAGCATTTCGCCGATTTCTGCCTAAAATAACAGAAAAATATGTGTGAATATAGGATGATGTATTAAGTGCATTCACTAACTGCTAAGTACATGTATGGGTATGTGTACCTGCGTACGCTTGAGCAGCGCCTTCAGCGAGCCACCTTGACGCATGAGTTTGTGCACGTTGCGCGTGTTGACGCCGGGCAAACGCAGCAGAAAATCATAAATATTTGGATTGTATTTCAGCTCCTCACCGCTGGTGCCGGACTCATCGCAGCCCACAGCGGCGGCTTGCTTCGGATCCGGTTGTGGTTTGCCCAGCTTCAGCTCTTCAAAGAGTTGCGCCGTCGCATACGGACTGGGTGACCAAATGAGACGCAGTTTCGGAAAATGTATGGTAAGCAATTGCAGCTTCTGCACAATATCAGAATGTGTGGACGTGGTATTCTGTGAGAGCATATATTTACCCTGCAAGTGGAAGGGTTTATTCTGATCGAATTCGATAAGCAATATCGGTTTGGCGTAGTAACGCTGCATTTGTATGCACTGATTGTACAAGCGGCCGGAATTCAGCGAGCCTATAAGATCAGAAATCGACTTACGCTCGACGCAGATATCGGGTGTCAATATGTAGTCGCCAATCTGAAATGGGTCGATGTTATTAACGTCATGTACTCATATAAAGAGGTGAAATCTACCGTTATAGTGACTGGCAACACTTCCATGCCACGCCGGTGTATTAGACATGGCAGATCGGAGCGAAACTCACGCATATCCACGATGATTTGGGGCGCAGCAAACGGAACAAGACCCGCTTGACCGCCAGCATTGCGGGTAACGGCATTCCCTGCTTCGCCGCCACCGTCTTCGGCATATGTTTTATAGAGTATAAAAGCTTCGTCTGTTTTGCCATCCTGATACTCAGGTATGACCATAACCTTAAAGTCAACAAAAAAAATGTAGTTAGAAGTAGTTGCATCACTGTATAGTAGTTTTGAAGATAGCTCAAAGAATCGGATTATTTAGATGGGAATGAACTATGGAACAAGGTTATGCAGAAACTCATTGTCTTCAGGGCAACAACAGCCGGTTCTACGTTACCGTAAATGACCCGGATTTCATCAGGGTCTGTAATTTCGATAATCTAACACTGTTTGAAGCGGTTAGTAAAAAAAGAATAAAATAAAAGTCAAGAAAGAATTGCGGCTCTCACGACGGTCGGATTCTATCAAGGACAATCGTTATAATTATTTAGAAAATAATTACGAGCGCTAGAACAACGACAACGGTACTAACGCAATATCCAGAAAACGAGCTGTTTGAACGGGATTGGACAATACGGAAAAAAGCGTTAGATCAGTGGATTCCACTGGACCTGCAAAATGGTGTAGGGAACTTTTTTCAAGCAGGACATTTGCTAAGCTTGTTAAGAACTAATCTGAATGAAAGTTTCGCCTGCTAAAATAAAAAGAACAAAGTTGCGCAAGGGTCAATCTAGTTTCAAGAGGCAAATCGAGCTCTTGTGCTGCTATGGTTATAAGTTTGACTTCAAGGACAACTTGCACCGGGCGGGAATCGTTGAAGTTGTTAATGGTTTCTCTGAGAATGACGTATAGCCCTATCGTATATTGGTCGTATCCAAAGTCTAGTCGATTAAATATCTTCAGTCATCAACGTACTGCAGGAACGACTTCCTGATATTCTTAGATGACGGCTACACTCTAATAGGTGACCATAGGCATAATAGCTGCGAAAAAATTAGCTTTGAGAGTAGTTCTGTGCCAGTATTCTTCCAAAAACATCAGAAGTCATCATAATTCCGGAGTGCGTTGACCTAGCTAGTTTGAAGCTTCTACATTTATGCACTGCTGGATTCAGCTAAACATTTTGGTGTGAATCTAATCCTATTTGGATTGCTAAGTAGTTAGGTCATATTAGGTCGTAGGGTTGATCGTAATGGATGGATCTCACTTGGATAGTTAGATGTTCGAGTTAAAATCCTAAAGTGGATCACTAGACGTTCACAGATCGGCGAAGCGTTTTGAGCTTACTACAAACTTATTATTACTAAACTATTGTGCTTACGCGCTTCGTTTCAATAATTAATTCGAAGGCCTGCTTCTCACGACGCAAACTCGTCAAATATGACTGCTCTTCCACGGTACGCGCATGTATGAGAAAAAATACGCGCATGCGTTCATTGACAGCGCGCCGTTGACGTGCCTCATGTATCTCCAATTGCCTTATGGCAGCCACATTGCAATGATACATGATCACATACTGCGGCTGTATCTCCTCGAGTATGCGATCGAGCGCCATTGGACCTTCATGATCCGTTTTAAAAGTCTGTATGCAAATGAAAGGTTGATTGCGTGCCGCTACAGCTGCAGTAATGTCCAAATCTGCTAACTGTAAAAATATGTTATTATATTAAAATGCTGTTGTTTTTAAACTAACGTACAGACCTCTGGGAAAGCCTCAAATATGGAAGCATTCATATTGATTGCCGCAGCGCCACTAGCATGAGCGGCATCCTCAAATTCGGCGTATGTTGATGATGTATCATCGATATCGCTCAATTGCGTCATGGTCAATAGGTAACTCTCCTGAAATAACGTGGTTGAAAACGGCTCATCGCCATCCGTGCTAGTCAGCAATTGTGTTAGCTCATCCATGGGTGCGCTTGCATCCTCATCCATAACATCACTTTCATTGCGGTCAGCTTGCGCTTTTTTCAGCGTGCCACTGAGTTTTTGCGTGACACGTGCATTCGCTGCAGACTGTTGTAGTTGTGTTAACGCTTTTTCAATTTCTTTTACATTTTTAACTTTGTCATAGCTTTCAGCCAATTTACCAATTGGTATCTCGTGCTGCATAGCGGCATATAATAGAAAACGTTCACCGCCTTGTGTAAGAAACTGGCGCAACTGGAAGCAAGTGCGTGTGTCTTGGCAAAGTATAAGCACTTTTGGCGGCTCCAAACAGTCCGGGTGTGAGCGTTTCATGTCTGCAGGTATTTCGACTTTGAGTATTTCGGCTAAATGTTGCCATTTCGGACAAGGTTCGGGCTCAAATTCTGTTAAGTAAAAAGAGTTAAAATTTCGGATATGATCAAAAATGTAAACTACCTACCGCCCTGCGCGTTGTAAACACGCTCTTTGGACAAGTTGAATATCTGCTCGGCTGAGTCCAGCAATGTCCAACCCGAGTTGCTTAGCGCGTACTCTGTCGTGCGATAGCGTTTAGTGAGCGCATAAGCCGCAACTGCATCATGGTACATTGTTGAACTATAAAATCGTTACATATACATAAATATGCTTAAATCAAAAGTTAAATTAATTTCAATGTTATCTGCCTCACATCATTAAATTGCGTAAAATCTTCAAATCAGCCACTATTAGTTTCGTCTGGGAATTCAGTTGATGCCAAATGCAGTCCAGCTGCGCTTGCAGTATTTTGTGAAATTTCTTTGTTACGCAATTCTCCACAGTAATTTCTTCCAAATCGACTAGGCGATTAATACGCTTTATTTCACGCACCAAATAATTCATTATATCCAGCAAATGCGTTTGTATCTGTGTCATCTTCTGCGTCATTGGCACGTGCAGCTCAATCGTTTGCGCCTCGTATGGTTTCAACGATTGCTGCACGACTGCATGGAAGCGTGGCCAAATGTAGAGCTGTTTAACGAAGAGATTGCGCATAGTGCGCTCTATGTGGCCGTAACCGATAGTGAATGCCTCAGCGCTACTAGAAAATGCTTTAATGAAACCAGTTTTGTTACGCATACGAAAGAGACGCAAGGCAAATGCCTCCTGACACGATTCGACAATCGTATGTGCGCGCAACACTACAATGCCAGTGATCAATTCGATAGGTATACGATTTTTTAATATGTCCACAACTAAAATGCGTGTGCTTATGAATTGTATTCCACCTTCCAAATAAACACGTTCTCTATGGGTAGATTACAAGCATGTTGTTTAATATGGCAATTTCACAACTTATATGCCATACTGCTTACCGCTCAGTTGCAGTCGTTGCTACCTCATGTACATATTTGTACTCCAATTTAGCTTTATAATATTTCTCCTCCCAATCAGAAAAGTTGATTACAATCACAAGGTTGCCTGGATCACTGTAAACCTTCAGTATATTTGTAACAACGCGTACGTAGTTCAAACCTCTGCGATATTAAATAAATAAGTATAGATATACAATATTTTTTATAATTATATATACAAATGCAATTTTTTATCACTCACTTTGCGCATACAGTAAGCCCATCCGAACCAACTATATCAAGAAACATTTGTTTCTCATATTCCAGCATAATTACATCTTTACGCTGTAAATATTCCTCAGCGGTCATAACATTTGCCAAGGTTTCATCGTCATTTTGAAATCCAGACTCCTCAACATTTGAGGAAGCTTCAGCCTCAGTTGGTAAAGCCTCCTCTGTGGATTCCTCCTCTGAATATCGTTTTTTCTTTAAGCTTGCTTTCGATGTCGATGGCTGATTGTCCTCATCACTTTCCATTTCGATATCAAATTGATAAAAATTCTTTTCGAGTTTCTGTATTTCACTATTTGGCCGTATATTTTTGCCGGTTCACTCAAAACAAAAAATGTTTATTTACAGTACCGATACAGCTGACAAAATTTGACAGCCTCCGCAAATTGAAAACAGGGTGATCAAAAAATAAAATAGTTTATAACGAAATCCTGCTACAATATTTTTTTTTATTATTACGGCTTTATTTTATGTTGTTCACTTTTAAAAATTTATGGAAACTCACTTCAATAATTTTAAAACAAATTCACTTAATTTTGAAATATTTAGTAAAAAATCTGCAATATAAAAAGTAAAACTCTGCAACACTCTTTCAAGTGCAATGATACCGTATGATATACGCTCTCTGAATTAGTCTGCAACACCTTACAGCACTGCAATTGAATGAATTTGTTTTGATTATTTATTCTTGCAGCCTGCAGTACGCAATTAAAGATATGGAAAATGGTAGGAAAGAAGACAAAATTTGCTTTGATCAAATTGAAAAAATAATGCAAGATTTAGATGCCACCAACACAGAATCCAATTCATCAACTCCACATGGCTTGGATGTGCCACACAGACCCATAATTCTGCCACCTGAAATCAAAGAGGAACCCAAAGACAAGGACACGGAAATAAGCCCACAAAATGATGTTTGTAGCAATAATGAAATAGTTGCAGTTCCAACGCAAATTTCTGACAGTGACCCGAAATATTTATCAAATATACAAGGACAACACACGCATCATGAAGTGCAAATTAAGAAAGAGAGGGTTGATGGCTGTGTTGAAGTGCCAGTTGAGCCACCTGAAACAGTTGAAGACATAAATGACAGTGAAACACAAAACGCAATTCAAAAACCTGTAGAAGTACCAGCAATACGAATCAAACCTGAACCCGTAGATGCATCTTCACTGGCGACGGAAAAAATTTCACTGCAAAACACAGCCACAACAGATGCATCGTCAGAAAATGCCACTAAAAACAAAGGAGAAGAAGCACCAACCGAAACAAATATGGATGATTCAACTGCACCTAACAGCCCAATTGGTATGCCTGAAGTAGATGGAGCATTGCCCGATAATTTCTTTGATGACCTTATCAAAGATGCTGATAATATCACAGCAGCGGCTTTAGAGTCCAGCGCACCAAATGCTTTTATACATGAAAAAGAACCCACAGAAATGTTAGTTAATGTAAAAAAAGAACCTGTGGATACTACAACTAATTTAGAAGAAACAGCAACTGCGGCTTTACAGTCCACCGAAGCGGTACAACAACAACCACAAGATTCCACCGAACAAAATATTACTACACCAGAACATCTTAATGTAAAACATGAACCAGTTGATACAGCAGATGTTCTAGAAGCCACAACATCCGCACCGATACCAGAAAACTTTTTTGACGATTTATTAGTTGACCATGTCGCCGAACGCATAGACGACGTAGTCAATCATGATCTCGAAATAAAATACTCCGAACGTCTTAAGGAGCTGGAACAATTGAAAGCCAAAGAGCAGGGCTCGCATAAAGCACATAAAAAACATAAAAAGAAGAAAAAGAAATCACATAAACGTACGCACAGTGAAGTTAATGAAGACGAAGAGGCGCTTAATGCAAATCACAAGCGTAGCAAGCACGCATCGCGTAGTCACAGCAAAAGCCCACAAAGCATGCCACATGATACGTGTATACGCGTTAAAAGCGAATTCTCTACTAGTGAAAAAAGTCGGCTTCCCGGTGGTACACTTTCCTCTAACCATCAAAGACCTGACACATTCAATTTAGATTCGGTTGAACCAGAAACTAGTGCGGCAGCCGCTAGACGTATGATACGCGTTAAATCCGAATTTGGCACAAACCAACCTGTTGCGGAAGAATCAGATGTCTGCTTACCAGTAAAAGAGATTGAGCTTTTCCAAGGGCGTAGTAACATCAATAGAAACGGTCTGATTGTGGACATGACGGCACCGTTGGGTTTCAAGCGCATTAAAAGTAAAGAAACCCTGATACAATACTTTCCTTCCTCTTTTTATTTTTTTTAAATTTTTTTATTTTATTTTTTTTTTTTTGCAGTGGAAAGTGATGAAGAAAAATTAGAAGCAGCAGAGTTTATTTTACCAAAAGATAAAATGGAATATTGTAAGTCAAATGCCACCATATGACATAATTTAAATAATTCATAATTTCTTATTGCAGCAAAACAACGAACAATATTAGCTATCGAGGAGTTTAACAAGGCTAACAAAAAACCTAAAAACACGGCTTTTATATATACGAGCACTGTGCGCAAACTACCTAATAGTGATTCCTATATCAGGCAGCAAATATACGATAACCGTTCACCACTACACAACGTTAACAATGTTTCCTATAAGTTCAACTCCTACGCTAATCACTTTAACCTACACGATTGGGGTATAGAAGCAATTCCACCAAAAGCAAGTGAAGTAGCAAAAATTTTAGGTTTTGATATACATGCGTTGGCCAAAAAAAAAGAGACATTTATATTACCGCCAGAGATACAAAAAATTACAAGGGAACAAGTAGAACAGACCGAAAATCAATTGACTGACACCCAAACGTCATTTCTTCGCTCTTCGTCCACGCAAACCGACGAAGTCACCGTGTTGAATGCATCAGCGAAACATCGTAAAAATGGGCATGATATAGCCGTACAAACTATACCTCGAGGCAATAATATCGGTACACAAACAACAGCTATATCGGCCCCGGGTAGCAACAACTACGATGATCTACCGCTAATGCGGGAAATAAGCACGTTGAATGAAAATCAACTAATGGCTTTAAGTGATTTTGCTGATTTGATACGCGAAACGTCGCTAGCAGCTGACGCAAGTGCCATAGACTTATATCGTCTGCGTCAACGTATGATGGATATCTATAAATGCTCACAACTACCATCTGAACTCGGACTAAATACTCAGCAATCAAGCAAATATAGTATGCACGATCCACATCAAAAAAGAATGAACTCGGTAGAGGAGTCGCCACCTCCGCCGCCACCAAGGTTCCTGCCACAGTATGCGCAACCGTCCATTCGAGCAATAATTAGTCAAAATATGCGAGACCCGCGGCAAGAAAGAAGGTTGGCAATGCAGGAAACGCAACCGCAACCATGGCCACACGCAGTTGTTCGGCCACCCTATCATCGTCCACTAGCACCGATGAGACAGCAGACTACGCTGCCGAAACGTCAACGACTAGAACCTGCAGCAGATATGTCATATAAAATTCCAGTTATCGAAAATGTGGCGTCACTACGTCATAATGGCCTACCACCAACGGATCCACGACAGCATACTTTTGACGGTGGTGCGATGCGACGGTAATGATATGCTGCGTTACCCATTGCACACTATATAGCTTGACAAGCCTTTTGTTTAAGCATAGCTACAATTTTCCTCGCTTTGCTTGACAATTCATACTTAAACAAAGAAGTGAAGAAAGCAAAAGCTATGTCAGAATGAACGCTTTGCTTTCCATGCTTGTCTCTAATAAAAATTGCGACTGTTGCTTGGCAAAGCGTAATATGTTGTAGAATTGTCCAACATTTTACTTCGATTTCACACACATCGAACTTACCCGTCAAATCAAATGTATAAAGCAAAGCGAAGCAAAAGTAGTATGTGAATCAGCCATAAGGCATTTATGTATTGTAAATAAACAGTTGTCCCTACATGAAGCTACACGCTTAATACAGTGCTGTAGTTGTTGTAGCGGAAGAAGACACTGCTCAGGAAATTGGGATGGTTAAAAATCCAGGTTTAAATCAGTTTGACAAAATTGTGCTACCAATCGGTTAGTGAGTATCGTATGTTTTATTAAGGTATGTTTATAAAAATCTAAAAATAAATGCAATAAAACAATGTTCTTGAAGTAAATACAAACATTTTGTTTTTGTACGATTATCAATTACATATATTTAAATTATAAATCGTTTTTCATTTTATTTCGGGTTTGAAATCGCCTTCATTTTGTCGTAACGAATTTTGATTACATATATAATTTTTTACTTAATGTTTTCCATATATATGTGTTTCTATGTAAGTACTACGACTAAATGAATCGGATGCATATTTATTTGCCATTGATGCGGTGCAAGCTTACCCTAATGTTTAAAAGAAAATTGTATTGTGCTGATTGTGTGAACTACAAAGCAATAAAAAATCTCATAAAATGTATTAATTACAATATTGTTTTTATTTTCATTTAATTTATTTCATTATTGTTATTATTATTTGTTTATTTTAATTTTTATTCTTTGTGTTGTTGATTTTATTTTACTTTTATAAACAATAATAAATGATACTGCAGAATTGTCAAAAAATCTCCATTTTTTGTCTTTTAAAGTGCCGAACATACTAGAGCTGTTAAAGATTAGTGAATGATGCCTTATATGATTTTATAAATAATATGAATGATGAAAAAGTGTTATATCACATCTAGCTAAATTTCATATACAATTTTATTTTATTTTTTTGTTTTGCGTTTATCTTCAAATATTTTGTGAGAATTTTAATGTAATTTTTTTTTGAGATTATAAAAAATATTTTTGTATATATGTATAAGTCAGATATTAATAAATTTAATGAAAAGTGAATGTATTACGTAAAAATAATAATTAAATAATTGCAAAAAAAAATAATAGAATAGTTGCCACGCGCTAATAATTTACGTATGTATGTATGCATGTAATAAAAAAATGTATATTTAGTATTATTTTACTTATGTTTTCACGTTCTCGTGATTCTGCGGCACATGTTATTAAGCATACTGGTATTTATTTATGTATGTATGTATGTATGTATGGAACTTTCTTAATGTGGAAGTCAATGGAATAATCAAACACAACAAACAAATGGTTGAGAATCAGGCTAGAAAGTGTTAAGCTGGATAGAATTATTGCAAATAAATAGCAAGTAGCTGTCAATGGATTTTTAGTTGACGCGTCTATGTAAACGGCACGTACCCGTTTCCACACAAATATCGCTCTAAGGACTGGCAACTCATTTTCTCGAAATTGTTTTGTATGTTACTGTAACAGTTACATTTGAAATAAGCAAAGAAAAGTGAGGTTGTGTTTATGAAAATAAAGTTTAACGTTTAACGATATAGAGCTGCTTTAGCAATAATAATCCTGAAATGTTTGCTTAAGTGTGTCTAAAAATAATAAGCAAGCTCTTTCTTGTACTTCTGTTAGCAAGCTTAGCCAGCAAAGCCTAAAAAAATGCTAAAATTGTACCTTAAAAGTTCTCAATGCATTGCATAATATGCGGCGTTGTAAACAATGTGGCATCAGTTAAGTTGTGACAACGTCAATGTAGTCTTTGCCCAATTAAAATATTTTGGTTTACTATAAAAAAAGCTTTGCTCTTCATTTGCGTATCTGAACATTCGCTCGCCACAAGTTGGTGTGAGGCAGTTGAATCAACTAGAAATATACATTTTCAAGCCTTACGAAATAATTACAACTACGTAATGATAAAGATGTGGCAACAGGGAATTAACTAGCTAGCTAACGATCAAAAAATCACACCAAACTGTAGTAAATGGACCTTTTAAATGCAACAATTCTACTACTCTCAATGCTAATATATTCGGAGCGTAGAACATTTCTGACAGACTGTCTCAATGATGTCAGACGTTAAAAAATCAAATTCTCTCTCCCCCACACTCTCTCCAGCGTATTTCTCAACCAAAAAACACAAAACGGATAAAACTTTCAAACCGGCCTTGTTTGCGCCACTGAGTTATAGTTAAATGAAGCATTTGTTTATAGTTTTGAATTTTAAATTTTTATTTACTATTGTTGGCTTGCATTGTTTACACAAATAAAAATGTTAAAATACACGATTTTATTATTACCATTTCAATATCTTTTAAAATAAATCGTAAAAAGAAAGTTATGCAAAACCCAATACGTATTGTTCGTTGTCCATGTGATGTTACAAATATTCTGACAAATGGAATGGAACAGCACATATCACTGCTTATTGTATAAAGTATATGCATATATGTATGTATGTGTGTATGAAGTTTTTGTTTTTATATTTCTTGCTTGCCAACCACATTTATTTTTTTGTTTTTGTTTTATATTTTCTCTTTAAGTTATAATTATTATGTTCTCTTGATAGTTTAAATTAGCTTACAACGAATTTTGCTTACATATGCATGTAAATTTTGCTTATGCGCCTAAAAACACGCTACATATTCAAAAAGTGTTTAAGTATGAAGAAATCGCTTTGCGTCGCGCTGTCGCCGTAGTCGTCGTCTTCGTCGTCGTTATCGACGCCTTTCACAATTAAAATTGTTTCTGTTGTATTGTATGCGTGTGTAAAATATTATTGTGTAGTTTGTTATGTGCTGTCACAAAATTACTGATCCATGGCCTCCTGACTGGTGTCATCCACCTCCATGCCAGCGGGTTCGTCCTTAGATGGTGCTGGTGGTTCGTTTGCGTCAGTGGCCATTTCATTGGCAGCGTTTGTTTCGGTCATAACAACTTCGTTAACAGCGGGTTGGACCTCTTCAATCGGCACATCGTCCATGGGTTGATCGTTGAGGGCTAATGTTGGTGTAGGTAGTGGGGTGGCTGTCGGTGTGGCAGCAGGAACGGCAGCAATAGCTTCGGCCGAGTCTGCGGCTGGAGTCGTAGCTGCAGCTGCGGCGACAACATCGCTTTTTTCGACTACGGTAACACTGTCAGCGGTTGTGCTTTCTACCGCTTCAGCGGTTGTTGGAATTTCAGCTTCGCTGGCCTTAGCTGCAGTAGCGGTAGCAGCAGCGGCAGCTTCTTTGTTTTCGTCAGACGCAGAAGTTTCGTTTTTAGCTGGCGCAGCTGCAACTGTTTCGGCTTCATCCACAACGGATTTACTGGCGGAATCAGCGGTGGATTTCTCAGTCGCAACAGCTTCTGCTTCGTTGGACGTGGTCGTAACAGCTTCAACTACTTTTTCTTCGGTAGGTTTTTCCAAGTCGGCAGCGATTTCAGCATTGCTCTCAGTCTTTTCGGATTCTTTTGTTTGCGTGGCAGTGGAGTCGGTCACTTCAGATGTGGCTTTTGGTTCTACAGCGGGCTCTTTCGCTACAGCAGCGACAGCTTCAGCAGTCGTTGCCTGTGGCGCAGCCTTATCCTTTTCCGGTGTGCTAGTCGAAACTTCGACCTTAGAATCAGCAGCGGCCTCGTTGGCTTTAACAGGCGCCGTTTCCTCTTTAACTATGTCTAAGGTTTTAGCGCTACCTTTAGCACCATCACTAGTAACTGCTTCTGTCGCATCATCTGCTGGACCGGCTGATTTCTTAAGCTCGGCCTCAGTGGATTCTTCAATTGGCTTAGTAGTGGCTACAGCAGCTGCTACAACAACCTCCTTTTCGCCTTTCTCTATTTCCTGTTTTTCAACAATTTTTTCTTCTTTTTTAGTTGTTTTGGAATCAGTTTCCGACTCGGCGATATCTTCTACTTTTTTAACAGCATCTACGTCGTCAGAAGCTACTTTCTCATTGGAACTGGTAGTTTCCTTGTTAGCAGTTTCTTCCTTATTATTGCTTTCTGCGACCGCTTTAGTCTCAACATCTTTTTTCACGTTATTTTCAGACTGTTTCTCATCCGTTTTGTCTACCACGTCCTTCTTCTCTACTAGCTTCTCCTTGTTAGATTCCTCTTTACTTTCCTTCGATTTTGTTTCTTTATTATCAACTTCTATCATTTCTGCATCCTCGGACGGCTTAGCTACCTCTGCTGCTAGTTTACAATCAACTTTCTCAGTTTCCTTTGATTTCGCATCATCAGCGGCAGATTTGCACTCATTCTTTTCCACCGAAACACCACTCTGTTCGTCTTCAGTCTTTTCAGCGATATTTTCATCTTTCTCATCCAAATCCAGCTTTGCCTTTTTCGGATTCGGCAAAATGTCATCATCGGTTGTAGCGTGCTTGGTAGCTGTCTCACTCACTACGGGCTTCTCTTTCGACTCAGATTCCGGTGACGCACCACCATCGGCTGCCGAAATTGCGCCATTGCCGTTACCAGTGCCATTGCCGTTTTGTGCCTCCATATTAAACAAGGACTCATTCTCCATATCGATATCGACGTTGACATCCAACGAAAGATCACCGTTGACCACTGAATCCAGTGAATCGCCGTTCTCGCTCTCAGTACGTTTACGACCGGGTTCGATGGTGCTCACTACTAGAGTTGAAAAAAGGAAGAAAGAAAAGATCTTTGTTGAGAATTTATTGTAAATGGCATATATGTGTATATAAGAATTAATTTAATACTAAGGCTTACGTAAAATAAAATAGCACATAAATAATGGGCCTAAAGTTTAACGTGTTTTACGCTTAAATATTTTTGAGGTTATGTAATAATGCAAGTATTATATTTAAATAAGCTGAGTTCCGTCAATATTATTCCGCTATATGTAGCCTATATTCAAATTTAATTAATTGTAAATTAATAATATATAATTAATTTCTTCGCGCAATTCGGCCAATATTTAAACCCTGTAGAGTAGGCTATCTCCCAATTAAACGAATAACCAGGAATATATAAATTTGAGGTTATGGATGATGTAATTAATTTTTGAGCTTATAATTGAAAAAAGCGTAATACTTTCAATATTTATCTAGGATGCTAGTATCAGTATAGAGCACAAATTGGTCCTATATAAATCTGGGTCTCTTCTAAAAGACTAGACTTAGCTCAATGTGTGGCTCCTAATGTATGAGAGACAGTCATTATTAATGTCTATAATACTCATTATCTACAATTCCCTTCGAAATCATTTAACAGTAGGTTCAGTATTGTCCAAATTGCCGAAACGACTTCTTGATCAGTCAGTCAGTCCAAAATTGTTTCTATGAAAACTTTCGAGCAGAAACTGTCTTCAAACTAGTTCCCTATTCTCTTTAACTGGGGTCATGCAGGGCACACTATTAATATGCTCTTGAGAAGATATTAAGAGACATAATGCAGTGGTGCGGAATCCGGTATTATAACAGAATTGGAGCTTCTTTATCTGCAGCCTATTAGATCGATTATTGAGTTAGCATAGCTTAGGACCGACCGACAAAGTGCTACCAGCTAGCGGTTTTAGGGTTTTGTACCGGTTCTGCACTTTGGTCGTAATCACCGGTCGTTTGTTGAGTGTTGTAGTAGAGATTCATAGATCAAACGTAATGTAAAA